GTTTTTGGCAGTTGTTTTAGGGTACCATCGAGCTATTGAAAAACAGCCGCAAGGTGTCATCGAGAAAAAAATTCATAAAATATTTATAACGAGAACATATCTGCTTTTCATGTCATCAATGAATTGTTCAAGGCCCTAACTGTAATGTTATTGCAAAGGAAAATTCACCGATAATTTTCGACTAATTCTCGAAATTTGCCTCGATCCGCACTCGACCGTTGTTATTTAATTACTCTACAAAAAAAAAAAGATTAGAAAAAACTAGCCCTGTTTTGGTTACTTTGGTACAAGGGTCTATCAATATGGAAAGTATGAGCGAAATCGATTTTTTGGCTGTGTCCGCGATGTTGATGATCATATCTGATTTTTACTGACAGTGCCTCTTAACTCGTTACGGTGTCCAATTTACAATTTCAACTCAGTTGATATATATATCTTATTAACCAAGCGTGAGGGCCGTACTGGGAGAATATTGGCCCGAGGTCTTGACAGTACGGAGGTCCGTACTGTCAAGACTGTGCTCGGTCCGTACAAAAAAGACCGACGGCCGATATTCTTCCAGTACGATCCCGAGCAAGCTTGGTTAATAAGAGATTTATTATACGACTGAACTTCAAAGGGACACAAGTGCGGTATCATTCGGGACCACTCGGGACTGTGCCCGGTCCAATACTGAGAGAATATTGACCAGCAATAGAGCATTTTGATTGGTTGATTTTAGTTATTGGCCCTCTGACTGCCCTAGTCGTGTAATAAACCAAATTACTTTCATTGAAGAACCAGGTTTCCAAAGGAATGGGCAGTTTGTAATGAAGACATCTGGAGTTCGGTTGGCACTTGTAGGAGCTTTAACCAGTTGTTGAAACGAGAATTGTTGGACAAACTCCCCAATGTTTAATTGGTTGAAATAACCACCAATTATAATTTTTGCATTAGGATCGTCATGCAAAATTTGATCACAAGAGTTGGACATTAAGTCCAGCAACTCACATGCATCATAAATAGGATCTGGTGGATGATTAACACTGGCGACATAATACTCTGAATTTGGTGTTGATAATTTACACCACACGATTTCCAGGTAATGAGTTTCCGTAAAATTTAAAATCAAAAGTTTTAGTGACGTCATCTATGCACCTATCCTCCAGTAGATCATAATAGCCCATTTCCGAATTACCCTTGGCCTCTTTTTCAAAACGAGGCCTGGTGCTCAACCATTCTTGTGAAAATGAGTTTAATTTGCATGTGAATAAAAACTTGTTATCATATGAAAGGATGAGCACCAGAACTCATTTTGAAAATGAGGCCAAGGGTAATTCGGAAATGGGCTTTTAAGAACCAATCAAAATGCGTGTATAATTCAGCTTATCATGTAAACGTTCTCAGCCAATCTACATAACTGAGTGAATTAATCTATATTTCCTTAAGACAATCATTTCCTACGCAATTACATGGGAATAACGTGACGGAATACACTTGACATTCACAAGACTTCGAGTGATAGAAAAGGTCTTTTGAAATTTATTTTTTACTATTTTTTACCCACTCATTATCGAGAGTTAGCGACCAATTTGTTACAAATATTGGTAGGTTAACTTTATTGAAGGGGCAGTCTTCTCGGTCATAAAAAGTGTCCCCTAAACAGGGGATACGACTGAGTTCTTTACCAATTAAAGTAATCATTCTATTTCAAATTTTGACGTTTAGTCTTCGCATAGTACGAATGCAATTTTCACCTATACGAAATTATTCGTGTTTAGATACGCATAACCCCCTACATAATACCCACGAAAGAGAGAACGAGTTTGCTGTATGGACACTTATTATTGCAATTAGTTAGAACTGGCACTCGTTGATCATGAGTATCAATCATAACTGAAGAAGTTCCGAACTGGATGTCCTGACTTAACTGCATCCAGTTAATAATGGTAACATTAGTTTTCTTCACATCCTTGATCTTTTGTTTTCTCAAACCTATGAAGAGTTGAAAAAGTGCTTAAAGTGCTTCTCGAGAATCGCCCTACTGACCTTTGCAGAGTTCTGCTCCATTCTTTCATCATTGAATGGAGATCCAAGGTGTACCATCGCTTGGTGAAAATCTCAATCATCGAATCGACTGCGTAATCATGTAGTATGTCACTAAACGTTACATATAGACTCTCAGGGATAATCCTTCTCGACTCCAAGGGGGGTGCACCAACCACGAGTTTTGCGTGATTGGGAAGCAATGCCAACGTGTTCGCCACAATTTCATTCAATGCTGCATTATCAAGAATAGAGGAATATTCGTCGATGATAAAAAATACTGCAATAAAGGTGAATTTCTCTGCAAAAGAAGCAGATAAAAACATGGATAAATAAAATTAACTATGAAGAAATAACTAGCATACAGATTACGAATCATTGAAACATAACACCACCTGATTTATTCCCTACACCCAAAAACCCCTTTACCAATATAACACTACGAAGCTAGTTTTCTCGAAGAAATGATTTTGATATAAACTTGAACACTTCATAAGTATATTAAGGATGAAATGCCAAGGAAACGCCCACACCGATTCACTTTTCTATTAATGAAAATTTATGTAGCCCAACATTTCAACCCCCTTTTCTGCCGAAGAAATGTCACTTACAAGAAATTTCGCCTAATGGGAAGTAGTTCTTGTTTCCAAAAAGTCTCCATTTTTGCTTTAATCTATATACTTTGCTTTCTCCTAACCCATTTTTTAACAGTTTTTTTTTTTCAAACTGAACCAGTGAGCAGCACTGTGCGAACAGTAGTTGTAACACTTCTTTATTCTTTAATCTATAAGCTTTGCTTTCTCCTAACCTACTTTGAAATTTTTTAAAAACTAAGCTACTAAGCAGAACTCTGCGGACAGCAGTTTACTCTCCGACGCGTTTCTTTTAGGAGTTTGCAAGTTAACACTAAACGCCTGTATTTATAAGCCATTAGCGACAATTACAGGGGCCAATCGCCATATAGGCTAGGCCGAACTTACGAACATGAACAGGCGAAGTTGTGAAAAATTTTGAAAATTTTAGGTAAGGTGAGAAAGATATTTGGGAACCGTGGCCTCTTAATATTTAAACCACGATGACTTTTTCCCTGGTTAGTTCACAAAGCAAGCGATTAAGCTGCGATGGATGAAAACTTAACAAAAGTAGGTGCGCGGAAAACAGGGACCGCAGACAAAGCCAAGTACGTAGTTCTAGCGTCGCCCCTAAATAAAGAACTTTTGTTATGAAAAGTTGAACCGGAAGAATGAACCATTTCTTGACACAATATCCCATGACAGTCTACACGTCATTGCGCAAGACTAAAGACCGCGCAAAATCTGAATCCTCTGAAACTCATCTCAAAATCCTTGGCTTTGCCTGCTGTATCTCTCCGGCACGCCTACTTCAACTCAGTTTCTAAGTTTCTCTTTGCTTTCTCTCACTCGACAGACTAAGCTGAGAAAGAGGGGCTGTTTTCAATCTTAATTTCACCAATCCACACAATTAATTCAAACATTTTGCACCTTCCTACATCCGTAATTAAGACTGAATTTTTCGTGATCCAGAGAGTCTAGTCTTAATGCGAGCAACATAGCTATTCAAACCGGAGTTCCTTTGTTCCAGCTTTCATAGCAGTAACTACGCCAAAACATCGTTGAGATGTCATCGTGGTCATGCACAGCCCCGCTCTCTCAGCGTTTCGTCAGCTCTCCCTGACAGTTTGCAGTAACTACTAATACATTGAAGAGGAAAGGGATATCACATTTCGGAACAGGTACCTCCTTATAGAAACATTTGTTATTCGAAACCAACCTGGATTGCGAATGCAGAGGTCCATAGCTGTTGATAAATTCATCGTAGCTTCCTGATTCTTCTCCTTCAGCTCATTCATTAGCTCAATTTTCTTGTGCATCTCCTTCCTCAAAAATGCAGCCTCTTTCACGATTGAATCACGATTTTTTTTAAGTCGATTTCGTCCATAAATGGTTTCAAAAATGCTCCTATCCTCAATCATAGCTTCTAAAGTTTTTTCTAGCTCTCTCTCTCTTTGTATTTTTCTTTGCAAGTTACTAAGATCCTTTCGTTTTTCTTCGGTCAGGATGGATTCTACGAGTGTTACTGTGTTCCTTGAATTTAAATCTTTAAAAAACGTATCAATCTTTTTCGCGTTGTTCCCTTCGACACTGTCATTAATAATCACAACAAAAGTTTTGTTGTGGTAGCTTGTGGGTAGATTACCACTTCTCAATGTTTCTACTTCTTCTGAAGAAATTACAGGATGAAGAGAACGAGGTCTCACTTTTGCCAAAAGCTCTGCAACATCGTAAAGCTGCACGGCTTCAAAAAACTCTTTTAGTATGCTGACAGGAGTGTCAGGGAAAAGCCCTCCGATACAGTCTATAATCTTCCCTTGAGAGTAAAAATAGCCCGAGTAAAAATTCCTCTGAAGTCCAAAAAACTGTTCGAATTTTTCACGAACATCCCGGTCTCCAAATGTTTTCTCCAACTCTCTTCTCACGCCAGGACTAAGATCTTTCAAACAGAGGTTACTGGTATCTAATCAAAGTTAAAAAAAGAAAGGACACATGATTATTGAAAGCAATTGTAGCCTGATCCCTCAGGTTAGAGTGCATGATCCAGAAAAAAAAAACTTGTCATCAGTACTAGTAAATAAATTTTCCATGCCCAAATTCGTTAATGGCCATTCAGAAGCCTAGCGTACTCTCATCAAAACCTACGTTATCAAGTCACGATATCACGGCCCCTCTCAAATAAAGAAATGTTACTGCAAGACAAATTGGAAAACGGGTTTTATCTAATACACAGAAACCTTGCACTTTGAGATGAACCCAGTATTTTCCGGTCGTAAAAAGAACCAAACTTCCACTTAATGGCTCAAACAAAGTCGCCTAATATGCTTCCTGCTTAAAAAAGAAACAATTTGGTGTAAAGAGGGACTATATGTTTCGTGGCGCTCTAAGTTGTCCTTCCTACCACTCTAGCCGAAAAGGATGAAAAGTGAATCGCTTTAACGGGTCAACGTAGGACTTAAACATAACCACATTACATGAATTTTATAGTTTCGAAACGTATAAGGTACCTATCCGCGAGAAAATACATCGCGCAGCTGTTATGCACAGAGTTGCTGTGAGAATTTCTGTTATTGCAGCCGGGGTTAGCAGCTGTCTTGGAGTGCTCAAAAATTTTTGAATTCTTGGAAAAGACACGACGAGATGGAACTTTTTTAGAATAGTTTCAAGAACTCGTTCGCCAGAGGCGATCTTTCGGTGTAATGAAATTTATCATGAGAGGCTTCATCTGTCGCTGGTTCTCCCTGTTTTTAGAAGATTTCAAAGTGCTTTTATCATTTCTAAATGCCAATGAATTGTTGCTTGCACACTTTACATAGCAATGCTATTTAACAATTATTCCACGAGCGCGCGTTGGGTATGAGATGATACGCGCCTCGTTGGCTATAATCATCTCATATCCAACAAACGCGAGTGGAATAATTGTTTTATTAAAAACGTTAAATTAAATTATTTAATTTTATTCAACGTATTAGCTCCCTTTTAATTTTAAGCTGACACGTGCGCTTACCATATTTGTAGATTATGGTATATTGGCTCATTTACCATAATGGCTACGCCAATAAAAAGTCTTGAATTGCATTATCCAATGATCCAGTTTTTAATAAAATCCCTTATTTTAGTTTAATATATGCGTGTGACTCCACAACAAGCCCGATGAACGCTGCCCATTGTTTTTTAATTTTAATTAGTATATCCAGATTCGTTTTTCTGGAAAGTTTACTAATTATCCGTCGCGAGCGATAGCTCCCATAAGTAACGGCCGAGGAAAGACAGCTCGGACGCGACTGTATTCTATTTCAGTGATGTTATCCTGTTATTTCATAATTAATTTTTTCTATATAAAGTAATTGCTGCAAAAAGAAGAAAGAGAAAAAAAAATAAGACAGTTCAATTAAGGTTACAGAAGACCTTAGGGGGTGTCCTTCGCCAAAAGAAATTTTTGACCACCGTAAACTATCTATACATGGAAAGGTTGTGAAATGCAGTATCCAGCAAATATTATTTCGTTTTAGCTTGATCTAATCGTAAACCGAACAGGGCGCGACAATCCGAATGGACGATGTTTCTTTGAGCGAATTAGTCGCATATCAAACCTGACCAACAAATAAAACTTGAGCTCAATTTCAATCCCGAGGGGATGATCCTAAAGACCGTGAGGATTTTTTCGATATTTTTATTGGTTGCTTTACAATTTATCTGTCAAGCTTGCTGATCAAAATTTTACCGATATGCATTACGTCGGAGGCCATATCGGGAGATCCATTTTGAAACGGAATTCCCTCACACAGGTGTTTAGGTTGGTATTTTGAGAGTCCTCGGACCAAAATTCAAGGCAATCCGTAAAGTTAACGTACCCTATTGATTCGGTCAAAGAAGGCACATTCGCGTAAAAACGAAGATTTTTTTCCTTCCAAACTTTTCCCAACAATTCATGCCTTTGGGTGACCACATGTCAAGTTATGTCGAAATGTCGACCGTAAATACAGACACAGAAACATCCGGCAGAGTCATAGGGAGACTCACAGCAAAAACATAAATTGTGAGTAACTATCTAACAGTTACCCCTGACAGACCTTTCGTTCAATTCTGCTGAAAGGCAATTTTGTTTTCAACTCTTTTTTTTCACTCAAAAATGGCTTAAGTACGCGGCGGCAAAACTTAATGGTTGCTGATCGAGTGCGATAGCAAAGATTGCTTAAACCACGAGCCTTTATCTATTTCGGTGAGGTTCTTTCGCCATTCAGCGTCGAATTTCTTTGCCTTCTGTGCTGATAGCCGGGCTTCTTTTTTCTTTCTCCTACGGATTCTTTTCCTTTTTATCTTTCTCAACTCAAATTTTAGTTTTAAACGCAGAGAGGCAGCAAATATCTCCACGTGCAACCGAAATCAGGAGATGTTTACGCGATCAAAATTCAAGGACCAGGATGTTGTGCCACAAGAAACTCTTCGAGAGTCATTTATGTTAACATGCTATAATTAGCCATTCACAACTTTGGCGGGTTAAAGAATACAGTTCGAAAATACGTTTTTGTAAATAATTCGCGTTCGTTTCAATATTTTACCTCCATGTTTCTTGGAAACTATACTTAAAATAATAATGCTTAGTTTGACATGGAAAAAATGTTTTAAAAAAGTGGCCCTCGAAGGTCTAAGGTATCCTTAAATTTACCTCTAATGTCTTCTGTTTCAAATTCGGATGGTACGGTGTGTGTTCCCAGCGCGCTATCACTTGTTGCAGTCGTAATACTGTGCGTCTCTTGGAAATTGTCTAAGTAATTCTGTACAAAGGCAAATTTTTCAGCACCCATCAAGTCAGCTGCATCTGGCTGAAATTCTCCCATCTTGTCTCTTCTCTTGATCTCATCCCCAGCAACACAGGATTTGTCACCTAGGAGTAGAAAATAGATGATTGTCACGGTATTACGGCAGAGGCACATAACCCAGTTATAAAGAGGACTTCAACCGTAGTCTCCATTGTCTTGCGCTCTAGCATACAACTGCATGCCTCCTGGCATCGAAGTGAATTGTACTTCAAGTTTCTATGATTAAAGATTTGATGGGGGAGGGGAGAATTTGGCAAACTCCTTTTTCTTATGAGCGATATTTTTTACGGACCAAGTAGCAGATTATCGAAAAATGTAGTTGAAGGTAACTCTAATACAGTTTCTTCATAAAATCAACAAAAATCAAAACACACAACTTACAAACAATTTTATGGCCGGGGTCAAATGTCACAAAAATTTTTCCTTGTCAAAAGTTTAATTTAATGTTTATGGCCTACAAATAAAATACACGTACTACTAACCTTCCTCAAATTGGCCTATTCTCATGCTATCAATTATTTGCACCAAGCTTATTACTTTTTGACTGTAATGTTGTAATTCAGCCTCAACTCGTTGAATTCTTATGATAAGCGGATCTTCTCTTGCTTTGGAATACACAGCTGAATCAGAGTTTCTTCTTCCGCGTTTCATAAAATCAACGGTTGCATCTTCTGAAATATAAACAAAAAAAAAAACAGTTCCAAAATGTAACATTGTGCATCAACAGTGTCTTCAACTTAACGATGCGTGAACTATTGACCAGAGCCGGCTTAAGTCTGTACTTTTTCTCAATCCGTTTCCAAAACTCCTTGACAAACTCCTCAGCCCTCCAAACGTTAATAAAACTACAATGACCTATGGGCACCCTTAAAGTTCGTTTCCGGGGAAGCCATGGGTCAATTGACACAATGTCAATTCTGAAAACTTGAATCATGAGAACATATCAAAAGTCGTTATCAGAATAGCTGATGAAAGTGAAACCAAGGGAAAAAAATCCCATTTCTTAAAACTGCAAAAGACATCCTGACTTACCTTGATATCTATTGGTCAGCTGGAGACAGCCTTTCTGATATTCGTCTTCCTCAATGGTGACATTCACCTCCACATCCTCTCCATCGGCAAGTTCCCTCACCTCATCAGTGACAAAGAAATCGTACAGGCGTTTCTGAAGGGTTCCATCCTGGTACAACTTCCACAAAGTTTTAAGAGCTGATAAACTTTCAGCTTGTACTGTGAGGCAAACACAGCCGTCGGTGATTTGAACTAGCCTTGTACCAGCTGGAAGCACACATGTTTGTACGGCAGCGACCAGTTGATCAAATGAGGACCAACGACTCAACACCTCCATTGCTGAAACGACTGTAAGGCCGCCAGCAACTGCTTTTAATACAGTTTTAATGTTCACTACTGAAAATCAAGAAAAGATATATGATTTGTGACATGACTCTTTCCGAGCAAGACACAATGCAAAGATGGATAGCGTTGTTTATTTAAATAATTCAAACAAAAAAAGGTGACTTTTGAAAAAATGTGTTTCATGTTGACTCTTTCGGAGACAAGGCTTTTTTTATTAATGCCCCACCCTCTCCTCCCTTATTGTCTAAAACTGTCGCGCGTAAGGGATAGAGTGAGCCGTTTTAAGAGAATTTACCAGTAAAAATTTTAACTGGCTTACCTCCTACCAAAGTGCTTCGAACGGATGACATATATGCTGCCCTTTGTGCTGAATGAAGGGAACAGCAAAAGTAAATCAGTCAGGTGAACTACAATTCTTCCAGCCTGTATTATGCTGTATCATGATGTTCCTCTTTTTCCTGATATTTACCTAAAGAGTGCTAAGTAACTAAGTCAGCTGCACCTTTGGATAAACCCTCTTGAAGGTTAAACACAGGGATCTCCAGATAGTTGGTATCCCTCTCAAGGAGGATTACCAAAACACAACAGTCCTTAAGGGGGTAAATATTGCGATGAAAAACTTCCCTGCCAATCTGCATAAATGTCTCAGTGAATGGGTAACAAAATTTATCATATCACAACTGGTATCCCCCC